TATATATATATATATATATATATATATATATATATATATATATATATAACTGCAGACAGTACTGTTTCGGCCTTCTGTTTCGGCCTTAAGATCGCCCCTTGCGCACGCATGAAGACGGTCCGCTGATCAGTAAAGCCCACAATTCCACGCGAATAAACGCGAATAGTGTTTTCTTTTTCGCTGTTATCCTCATCAGCGTTAGCGGTAGAAGAAGAGTATCACAAATACCCGAAGGTGCGACTGGCCAAGTAAAAAGAACGAAAAAAACTCTAAGAGTAGTTTTTTCCCTGCTGTTTTTTAGATTGATAGCCGGTGCGATCGATCATAACATCAATATCACAATTTTCGTTTACGTTCCAGCACAGCGGTTTAAAAGAATTATTTTCCTTTGAATTGAAATTGCCTAAAGGTTAAATGATTTCGAAGGTAAAAATAACTGACCGTATCTCACCTAGCTCACCATTATTTTGGTTTGGGACTCTGGGGCACGTTTGAATTGAATAGTCAGATGGCTCCCAGCTTATCCCAAATTCGTGTCTTATCTACCTTAACAATGTCGAGCTTCGCACTAGAAGCTAGAGAATAATATATATATAAGCCATGAAAATCCTTAGTTTTTACAGTAGCGGCGAACCCAAAATCGAAGAACTCATTGATGGCTCCCCCATTCGGTCCGACTTCGCTCAAGTAAACACACTTCTTTTGACTTTTTCTCGCTTCTGGACGAGTGCCATCTAGGTAAAGGTATTGAATAAAGAGGATTACTCTCTCTTACGCATGCAGTACTACTACTCCCTTCAACGACACATCTTCCTTACCTTCTGCGACGATTTTGAATCCCACTATCGAACGTTCGCACACATTCCTCTCAGAGGCAAAACATTTCAGTTTAGTCCTTCGATGATGTCACAGGCCAACTCGTCCCATTCTTCGCTATTCCTCAGTCGTGGCCGTGGAAAAGGACAATTTTTTATGGACTTCATAGATAGTTAACGAAAATAGCTACAAGCGAAAAAAAAAATGGGGGGCTAGTTGCGCTTTAGTCTAATGCAATTCGTTTTAAAGTTTCACATAGCACCAATTTGTTTTTATTTCCACAGGTAACTGCTTGGCTGGACAAACATTCCGATCAAAAATCACAAGTTATGGCGACTTTAGAAATGGCAAAGTTTGGGCCAGTGACCAGTGCCTGGGAAGCTGCACGGTTCAGTATGGCGGTCTGTACAAGTCAACAGACGGGTTTCAACAGGCTGAGTGCAGTGGAAACATCCAAAGCGCCAACAATATCGGCTTTTGGTGTGACTGGGATGCTGGTGATGGACCAGTAATGATGATTGGTGGAGGAGGAAATTCTTGTGCACGTGCTGATCACGGAATTGGGATAACAGAAGAAGACGCAGCAAAGTTTCGTGTTGCAAAAGCATATGACTTTGGCTATTCTGTATCCCAATCCTGCTCGTTAAATCTGTGGATCCGTTGAGCAGGACTAATCCAAGTTCTATCTTTACGATCTGTATTTTTTACGATCTGTATCAAAATTGAACTCTTCGTTGGTAGTTAAAAAGAAAGTAAAATTCGAAAGGCGGCAATTTTGATTTCTGTTGTTTCAAATAGGTATTATGGGATGCTCGGAGGAAGATACATATTTCCCCCTGAGCATCCCAGAATAGCTATTTGAAACAATAGAACTCAAATTAGCCGCCGTTTCGCCGAAAAGGTCCATTTAAAATAGGGTGGGTCAGTAGTTTCAAGCATTTTCTAGCACTTGATGAATCAATGCTACCACACTTTTTCAACCGATCGATGCCGTAATTAAGTCCTTTTTAGCTTGGGCGGTTTGTTGCCCCGCTTAGACTATGCCCTTGAGAATTCTTGCTTTCAAACTGCCGAATAGTCTCGTGTATATGAATAGATGATTTTTAGATGGAAAATAAGAACAATTCTCAAGAGGATATCACGTGGTTTGTCTGAATGGGAAATCAAACCGCCCAAGCTAAAAAGGTCTATTCTGCTGTAAAAATCTTGAAGCCCAGTCATTTTGAAAAAAAGATATGGTCACTTCCATCATGCGAAAGGTTAGCAACAGTGTAACCTGTTAAGGGCACCCGTTATATCGGCTTTAATAAAAATAAATGCTTGTAACTAAAACAGCAAGTCCGACGACCCCATTTTATTTATTACAACCGAAATTGTATTAAGGTTGCTAATTGAAATACAAGTTTGGCCAAAAAATTAAACGGAGGGAGTTCAGATCAATTTATGTTTTCTACAATTTGTTGTAGCTCTGAAGCCGCTCCCACTTTTTTTTTTTTAATTTCCTGAAGAGTCAAATCCTGACATGCTGATTATAAATCGATAATAAAACGTGTGGTTCACAGAAGTAACAAGTTATATCGTTGGCATGGTAACTTGCAATGCTAAGGAAATGGTCATAACTTGTCTGCCAATTTGTGACCTTTTTAATGCCATGATTGTAGCATGAGTTCGTATAGTGTGATCGTCCTGGTGAGGGTAGTTCTGAAAAGAACTGTTGTTGGTGACTGACGTTTCG